GTTTAGACCCTTTTCCCTGGGTCCACACAGGTGTGGACTTGGCATACATGGTGGAATAATCTGACCTCTTCCCATGCCAAAATTTTCTACATTACCATTCCCTCACAGAATTTGTATTTGGGATTTTGAAATGGGGCGAAAAATCCATTTTCGGGGTCATAATGTAGCCCTAGGATAGGTTTTCCGAGATAGCCCATCATAATTGTTGTTTGGTGTTGGCTTTTCCCATCATCATTTGTTGATCACTTCCGCTGTCAGTTGATATGACTTCCGCTGTCAATTGATATAACTTCTGCTTTCCGCTGATATGATTTCCTTACCCTTCGTATGATTTCCGTACTTGTATGTTATATTTTATATATGTTTTTTTCCGCGCTTTTTCTCCGAAAAATAAAAACATAGGGATAGCAATAGAATGCACTTTCTGCACTTTTTCAAGACATATCACCCAAATGTATGTCACATTACTCTCATTTTAGTGCATACACATTGTTTTAATGGGAATCCACCCATACGCGCTGTGCGAAGGACGTGTCAAAGTCGACGCGACGTTGTTGCAACACGTTCAACGAGTCACGTGACGTGTTGAACTTGGCTGCCCATCCTGCCGGTCTCGTTTTGACCAGGCTAGACTCCATCTACATTCAAGAAAACAGTTTTTTACTATACTAATAGTAGAAAACTACAAGAAGAACAAAATATAAAGTCATGGTAGACCACAAACGGGTCAAAAAACGCAAGCGACGGTCAAGATATAATTGTACCCCTTAGAGATATTCAGACGAAGGTCGGACGTAGCGTGCGTGATGGTCTCATCTACGCCGTTTGGAGGCGGTTTTGCGACGGGTATCCTCCGGCGGGGCCTTAGACGAGGGGGGAGTGGACCTTTTTAATGAAACAATAGTTAATACGTTGTGCCAGGGCATTTAGTCCCCTACTTACATTTCAAGGAGATTTGAGAGGACCCACTCGACATCGGCGCCCGCCGAGAGCCATTCCTCGTTCTCCGTGCATGTGTCCCCAATAGCAGTGCCCCACCATCGTAGAGTGGCGAGGACTGTGTAGAACGCGTTCTGGCCACGGCGCTCCATATCCACCCACCCACCGTCACCGTCGGCCACTTCCCTGTGCGCCGAAGTCAAACCCCCCTGGAAAGCTGCAATGTTGCGCCATGCAGGTTGCAAGCCTTTCCACCACAACCACCATTGCTTTGCAAATGCCGGTATATCGGTAATTTTCGGGGTTGCCTTGCGCCCACAGCCCACCCACCACGTCACCTGAGAAGGTCTGTTTTTGCTGCCAAAGCCGGCGTTGCGTCGCTCAGGCGAGAATCCCGCGAGCTTCTCGAAGGCAACATATTTTGAGACGATGGCGTTGAAAACAGGTCCTAAATCTGGGCCTGTCCAGTGTTCGTGCGCCTTGACAAACCAGTCCGGCCAGGAGTCATCCACGCCAATAGCAGGATGGATGGTGACGTGAGGTGTCGGTTGACGAGAGCGGACAGGAGACGTAACCGTGGGGGAAGGCTGAGCAGGAGTGGGGG